GCAGTTAAGAATGCCCTGACTGCCTGTTATTATTGTGCCTTTCCGGGAAGTGGGCCTCACTACTGCCCCAGGGTGGGGAGAGAGGAGAAGGAGGGGGTACAGGTACTATCTTTGTACCTGTGTGTGGAGACAAAAGGTGTCGCCAATAAGTCTGAATCTTTTTGAAAAGGGGAAAGCACGGCGAAGCGATAACTGTCCCAAAAAGAATACAAAAACAACGTGTAACTGCGTTTACTTTGCTCGTTCAACAAGATCCGGAATTTTAAAAACATCCGAATTCGGAGCCCATTCCTCGGTTTGTTGTTACCACCGCTCGATAAAATCTGCTCAACGGCGCACTCCGGCTCGAGCAGGCCCCGCATGAATAACACAACAGGCTACTGTAGCTCCATAGTGCGCCGAGCACAAAAGGATGATGGAGGAAAAAAAGGCAATAAAAAAGCATACTGAAAGTGACCATGTACTGATCCCACAACAGCACAGAGCATTGAACAGTTGTTTTATTTCAACCGGTCACAACAGAAGCAGCAAACCCCGGCGCTCGTCTCGCCGAAAAATGAATATGCAAAGCTGGTTCAAAAAACACCGCACACCGTTTGCCATCAACACAAAGCCTAGCGCTTAGCATTGGAGGCTAACGCTAGCTCGCTCGCCATTTCAACTTCAGCGCGGGTCTTATTGAAATACAGAAATGTGTCAAACGCGGACGCGACTTGGTGTTTATTAATAAAATATGCTAAATGGTGTTTGTCGACAGAGGTATGAATATGTAGCGGCCATACAGGCGTCTAATCACACAAAGGGGGAGGCATGTTTCCCCCGTGTAATTTGTCGTCGGACGGCCAATAGCTCGTTTCCTGCTATGTCAAATTACAGCTGGCTAGCGTTTCCAGAGATGAATCGGAGGAGTCGTTATCATCCCTTGCCGTTAAATCCACGTTCCCCCCACGTGTGTATTCGTTTCTCATAAATTGTAGCGGCCGTTTGAATATGAGTATGAATATGTAAAATGCGGTAATCATTACCTGCTCCTGAACTCTCATCTTGACTCGCTGCTCCTCCGTCCGCCATTTTGAATATTTAACCCGAAAATCCCAGCCCTGCCTGCTGGGCGCGCACACGCGTACGAGCACGCGCAACCCGTGCGAAGTAAATACAGGAGTGACTGATTTGCATACATAAATAGTCATCTATTTTGTTCCTTTTATTTGTCTTGTACTATAAATTTAGTAAAAAGTATCAAGTAAAAAAAGTGGGTTCGATTGGTTGAGTGACTACATTAAACCTTGACATGTGTTATTCCCCATGTATTTTTCTTATTCTGTAAATTAAGTAAAAAGAAAAGTATTATGTATAAAAAGGGCGTTTCACTGATTGAGAGACTACATTAAAATTACAGCAATTAGGGTATGCTTCTTTTAATATAAATCACAGGTGTCAAACTCAAGGCCAGTTAAAGTTGAACAAACTATTATTCTTGACTTCTGATTTCAAAATTAGTTCTTTCTCAATTTGTTGTGTACTGTATATGTAATAATTTGAAGGGGTACATTTATAGGGGTTCAGAGTTATAATGACACTTCTCGGAAAACTGTCACGACAATGTGGCCCGCGACAAAAATGAAAACACCCCTGCTAAAAATGGTTAAAAATATATATTTTTTAAAGTTCAATTTTAAAAGCTGCAGCTGTTGTGAAAGCGAGAAATAAATAAAGATGTATTGTATTGTAAATTCTCTATTCATTTTTATTTTCTGTATTACTTAACCACAGACAAATGAATGACAATAGACATCAAGAAGCTAAATGGAAGTGACCAAATATGGTGCCAGGTCCAACTATTGTATACTCTGAATTTCCATATTTTCTAGTCTATTTTGTTCTATTGATGGGCAACTACACAGAAGACCTGCTGAGCGGAACAATAACAGGAAAATAATTTGACCTATTGGTGGCTCTGTGGCTCGTCAATGGATTGGTATCCTCAGAAATATGGCTTTTCAATCCAGGTTTATCTGTTCTTCCTTTGCACAGGAACTGCAACAAAGGATAACCTTGGAGTGCAATAATTAGCCCTACCCACCTTAGAACAAAGTGTACCTTTAAAGGACAGAAATTCACCCTTAGTGTCCCCCTTGTTTCTGGCAAAGTGGTTCATTTTAGTCACCATACTACAGTGTATTATATGAGCAGAGTAAAGTGTGGGAGAGGTATTTGATGGGAACTTTGGAGGCGACAGAGCGCAAACACAATGTACTGAGCAGAGTATTCATCACAGGAGTGAGAGGTCACTTAGGCCCAAGTGCTACTTCCTGGCACTGAATGCATACAACACACTCACGTTTATGAGAATTCTCAGTGACTTCCATGCGCACCTGACGTCAAACAATTCGGAATGCGACCCAAACTTTAAGGAAAACGAGGCTTGTAAAATTGGACAAAATGTCTGACGTGTTGGATTATCGTGATAAATTGACGGCATTACAAGATTTAAATTCAGCGTGCAGCCAAGGAGTAACATTGTGTTTTACTTTTTCTTTGGCTTTGCAACTGCTATAAGAAAAAGAAGACACAGGAAGTCCCATTAAAGTGGGAGTCTGACTCCAGCGTTCCCATTTGACAGTGAACATTTTACCTTGGCTGTGGGCGAGAGTTTGCAGTTTTAAAACTGCTTGCAAGATTTGAATGTAGCCCCACTCCGCTACTCTCGCACCTCCTATTGAGTCTCTGACCAAAGCCGTGCCCCTTACTGGCATGCACCAGGGTGAAGCTCAAATGTGGCCATGACATGCGATTATGAAAGTGTGCAGTCATGATTATTATAGAGGATGCACATCCAGCTTCAACACAACAGCGTTAGCAATATTCAGATTGTGCCTTAGAATTGTAAACTAGCTTTCGTTAGGGTAAGGGTTTGAATTGCTTCTCCGTCCTCTCACCTGCATGCTAGTCAATTCTTGGCAAACAAGCTTTTTTTTTTTTTTTTTTAATTTCCTGGAGCTGGATATTCCGCCATCATTTCAGCAAAACACCTGAAGCCGATGGTAACAGTTTAGTCAGTGCAAGGCTGCGAGGGTCTGTCCGTTTTTAGTCTGCAAGATGGAGTAGGCACCTATATAGAAAACACACTCAACCGGAAGTGTTAAATACAGCATGGCGGTTGTATCAGTACCAATTAAAAACAGATAAAGATAGAAACATACACATTCATTTTAAACATAATAATGCATCCCAAAATGCCGTGCCTTCCCTAACGTGACTACTCTTAAAGTTTGTGTGCAGTGTTCACCAGTGGTTAACTTTTCACACTTGTATGACTGTTAAAAAAGTTAAAATGCCACTTAAAACATTGCCGTTAAGTGAGGTTTTACTATGGTGGCAGCTTGACGCTGCAGCGAATAATTTCTACTTCCCATTATTTCCTGTGGGGAAAAACAGTTCAGAATCATAAACTTCATGGAACACTGATAAATTGTATTTCGATTATTTCCTATGTAAAATTGTTTGGAACCATTTATGTTCGACTTTAGAGATTCCACTGGCAAAAATATATAGAGTATATACCGTACAAAGAAGAAATGCTCTTGGGAATCTTCAAATGTGCAACTCATTGTCAAGAGGAGTTTCACTAAACACCTTCAGCCCTATCACCTCATCGTAAAACCTAGAGATTATGGCAGGAAATTGATAATAAAATAGGTTTGTCAAAGGACGTGTATCTACTCCATTCAAGGACAACGTCTAGTACTGATGTCCACAACCGTTTTATTCCGCTTCCGCTATGGAACACCATGAAAACTAAAAAGACATTCCAAACATTAACAATCAATATTTACAATAATGTGTTTGACACGAAAATTAAATGAATGAACAAAGATAACATACAGTAACCTGTGTACTTTGCAAGAAAAACATAAATATCAAGGCTTATTTGGAAACAAATCCACATTCATAAAATAACACGCTCAAACAAATATTACAGATTTTAGTTATCGTGGCAACCAATTGAAAACAATACTCGCTTCCAGCTACAACATGACTCAACTTCATTTATGGTGTTTTTATTGTATAGAGAGAGGCATGTTTCTTGATCAAGTTGTAAAACGGTTAATCAGACAGCGTCTTTATTGGTCCAATGCTACACCCTGCAGGTCAAAAGGAGGAAAATAAATATTAATGAATTGTTGGGTCATGGATGAGATGGAGCCGAGCCCAGCTAATTTTGGGTGAAAGGCAGTGTACACCCTGGACTAGTCGCCAATCCATCGCAGGTCACCTAGAGAGAAACACCGAAGATGCATGTTCAAGCTGGAGTACCTTAAAACGTGTAATATAAAAAATATTTTGCCTGGAGTATCCAACTATTACATTAATTGAACATATGACATATTTCCAAATATAATGTAGCATTATACTCCAGAATGTATCATATCATACACAGCGGAACCTCCAAAGATGCACAGCGAAAAAGTTTTAGAATTTGTAGTTCAACCAAAATGTTCTGGATAAATATGCCTCAAACATCAAACAATACTTCAAACCTCAGTAAATCTCTCGCAACTTAAGATCAGTGAGCATCTATAGGACTCCATAAGTCTGTTTTGCTTTTTCTACGGCTTTTTGTGCTTTTTTTGTGCAACAACCATAGACCCAGATAAGGAACTGTTCAGAATATCTGTAACGGAGGGTCTGTCTGCTCAGTATAACATGATCAATACAATTACATAAATATCAATTACATACACATTAACTTTATCAAGCTGATGCGCATGTAAATAGTTTTCATACACCAGTAAATGAAATTAATTGTAATGGTTTTCTGATGGCAACAGTTGGGCCCTTTGCCTCCGTTCCTCTATGTCCCAAAAAATTGAATTGAACACATTGTGTTCCGCTTTGGAGGTTCCACTTTATTACTTTGTGCTGCTTGTCGTGGGAGAGTTTCGGTGAAACCCTTATTGGTGGTTTGGTGTCACATGACCTATAACCGTTCACTTATTACCAGGAGGAGTCAAACACTCCTCACCTGAGAGAGCAATCACCGAGAACGTTAGGCGGTCTTTTCTTCTAAGGACATCACGCTCATACTTTGTTTGATTTTAACAATGACAGGAACGAAACGACTTGCATGGCAGCATCTACTTCTGACACTAACAGGTACACCGTATGTCTTTTCTTGGGCTGTTTTCTTAAAATCCACACCACACCTTGATTATATGATCATGAGAGTCAATCATTCATCCAACGCTTTGCCTCTATACAGGAAGCAGGTTAATTTGCTTTTGTGCTGAGCACACCTTGGCAACCAGAGGAAAAAAATATTTCATTATTTCTCCTGTCATTGTCTAACAAAAAAGCACATTAAGCATTTCACTTTCTTTTCAGTGCTTCCCGCCTGCAGGAGTTTGCAGGTTTCAATCCCACAGGAAGAATATGAGGTTGCGAGTGGAGAAGATATTATTCTGACATGTTCCTTTATTCCGGCAAAACCCAACTTCAACATGCTGCTTCTCACATGGGAAGCGTATCCAGATGTGGTTGAGGATCCAATGGTGAGCCATTAATTGAATAACTTTGCATTTGTTCCGTTAGCTTTAAAGAAAGTCAAACATGGGGCTTTCACCATGTCAACGTGCTTGGGGGGCATATTTGCATTGTATTTGGGGATAACTATGGCCTTTAGGGGGTTTATAATGCCTGTTAAACCAGGATTTTTTCACTTTTCGGGGGAGGGGGGTGGGGGTTACTATAATGTAAATATGAAAGTCAACAACTCATCCTGCCACCTTTGGAGGTACAGTATTGTCAAAGCCTTAACAGAGGCAGGATGACACCCGTGTAAAAGGTGAATAGTGGGACTGGGTTGTGAATTTGAACACTTGACAAATCACCTCTACTGCCCTGTTGCATTAAGACCAATTGTTGCGGTCCAAAGTTTTTTATGAGTCATACCAGAAACTGGTATGACTCATAAAAACTGCCCAATGTCATTCACATCTGTTATGTGATTGAAGAATGAAGATCTGACACATTTTTGGCATTATCCCTCCTTTGCTGGGTTCTGTGTAAAAAGCAAAGCGGATAAATGCAGGATGTTCTGTTACTGTAATTTTCCAGCATGTAAAAGAGACTGTTGATATGTTTTGATGTAACCCGTGTTATACTTTGGTATTTCTCTTTCATCAATGACAATTTAAAATTGGTGGGGTGTGGGATGACTTTGGACATTATTGTGCTTCCTTTTATTCTTTGCTCACATGAATAAGCCAGCCAATCAGTAGCTTAACATGTCTATCCATTTATTGTAAATAAATAAATCCTACATTTAAAGAACAAAAAGAAACTGAAAAAATGTTTTACAAAAAATAAATAATTCATATTGCCATTTCAAATTGGGTGTTACTTTTCCACTACTCTGTAGTTCGGGATCGGAACTGTAGTGACTGATTCGATGAACAATTAACCTAATTGCCTTGAGAGCATGAATAGATTGTTGTTGTTTTTTTTCATGTCTTTTGTCCAGGAACCTGTGGCCACCTATTTTTTAAACAACGCAGTTGACATCGCCCCCCCATATGAAGGCCGGGCATTCATGGAAGTGGATATTGTCAAACAACAGAGCACACTGCATCTCACAAAGGTGACCGTACAGGACAGCCGTCATTTCCAGTGCAGCGTCAAAATACCAAATGATGATGAAGGAACTACTGCGGCCTCCACTTCCCTTTTGGTGCTGGGTAAGAACAACTCATATGCCTATATGGTCACTGCTCTGTCCAATACAGCTAATCAATTATGACTTTGTTTTTGTCTTCATGTTTTAGTTCCTCCCTCCAAGCCTCTGTGCAGGCTGCAGGGAACAGCAGAATATTGGCACAATGTCACCCTCAACTGCATGTCTGAGGAGGGCTCCCCAAAACCGACCTATGAATGGAAAAGCTACAGTGTAGAAAGCATACCCAGACGATTTCCGCCCAAAACTACTGAGAGTATGTTTGGTTTGAGAACGCTTTCATCGTTGAAAGAATATACAGTGAAAAGTTGAAAGTGAAACACCACCGAAGTGGCACAACTGGAAAAATATACCTAAAAAAATCTAACCAAACTTCTGACATGGCTGAATGTTGTTTGACATCTAAATGTTTAATTCTACAAGTGTGCTTTGCTTTTGGAGTTTTTGTGATGCCACCACAGAAGGGTACCATTGATGGCAAAGAGGAAAAATGTAATGATAACCATAGAACAAGAAATGGAACTTACTGATATTTATAATCAACTTCACACAAAAAAGAAATCACTAAAACTTGGAAGTCAAAAGAGAACAAATTGCATTCAGCATAGGAGGTTCAACTGCAACAGTTTACTGAATGTGAATGATCACAAAATTTACCAGATGATTATTCTGTACCTTAGAAGATGGAGCGCTTTCCCTGTTTAATATTTCAAGAGAGACGTCTGGATTCTTTATCTGCGTATCAACAAACCGGGTTGGATCCGACAGCTGCAACTTCACCTTAGCAGTGATGCCTGGTGAGTGTCAACATCTTGCTTACCTATCTATCTGTGATAGACCAGGACAAGTGTCACACACAGTGACTTCCGGAACATGTAGTTGGGAGGCGGGCCTTATATGAGGATGAGGAGGCCTTTATTAGCTTTTCCTGCAGGATTAACTAACAAAGGCAAATTGCGCCCCTGACTGGCGAGCAGTCCGTCACAAGGCAGAGACACTGTCCGTGATTTGGCCCTGAAAATATAAGAGACCATCTTTTCTGTCCTTCTTCCACACTCTAGGCGGCATGAACTTCGGGAGCACAGCGGGTATAATTGGTGGTGTTGTCGCTGGATTTATTCTTCTCGGCATTCTCATCTTTTGTTGCTACAAGAAAAGGTCAAAAAAGAATAAGAACGTTGACAGGTATGTTCTGTTTACTCTCACACCTCACACACAAAACAGATCCTTAATATTAAGGGTGCAACCAGGTCTTAACCCTTTTTCTGTTTCTGTTCTTGATGCCTCAGTTCCTCCAAAGAAATTCCATTTTCAGATGCTCCTGCAGCCAGACCTCAGTATCAGGATGAAGAGTCTAATGCTGAAACAAATCAAGTGGAATACAAAGACGCTGTTCCACAAAACAGTCACAACATGGGAACTGTTGGACTCACACAAGAAGAGGACAATGATTTTGGTTCGGAGAGTGGTCGATATATGAATGAGCAAGACCAGGCTAGCCAGCGTAATCAATACCATGGTAGTCGTGAGTGCCTTGATAGGAATGAGTACAGAGGAAGTCGCGACAGGCTTGATGATCGCCGCGACAGCCGAGACCGGCTTGACGATCATCGCAATCGTTATGGTGGAAGTCGGGATCGCCTAGAAGAACGGAATGACTATAGAGGAAGTCGTGATAAGCTCGAAGAACGGAATGACTACAGAGGAAGTCGCGACAGGCTCGATGACCAGCGCAGTCGCTTCAGTCACGATAGGCTTGATGATCAGCGTAATCTTTACGGTGGCAGTAGAGATCGCCTGGAAGAACGGAATGAATACAGAGGAAGTCGCGACAGGCTTGACGATCAGCGCGACCGGTATGGTGGAAATCGTGAACGCCTTTATGACGACTACAATCACTAGCTTCTGTATTTGATGTTAAGAAAAATAAGTGGATACATTTCTTTTTTTTCCTTCATTTGTTTTAACATAGATTTTTGTTTTCATTGTGCCGGTTTTTAACATGCAAGTCTGGGAGGGGCAATTTCAGTGCTGGAGGGGGCCACAATTTCCATCATGACATAAAAAATGCCATTCAAATATGGACAAAATACACATACATACACGCAAAATATGTGCTCTTAATAATAAGATATTTCTTAAGGCATATACAGTACTGTATAAAAGATCCACTATTCAACAACAGAGGGTATGAAGCAAACAAACAACAAAATAACTACATAGTGTGATTTTTTTTTCAGTGCAAAGGCTGTTGTGCATAAAAAATTCCATTCAAGGCACAAAACTGCTTAACAGCAAACCAACATAAAGTGCAAGAACTAATTTTACATATGTTTCATGAAAATCAACTCACTCCAATTTCTTATATTATTGAGGCACTATGTTTGTCCTGCATGTAATTCCAAATCTGCAAAAAAATATTAGACGTACTGTAATACAAGACAGCATAAGACCCGGTGCAAGAGCGAAAAATATCAATTTCTACCATCTAGTGGGGGGTGATTCATGAGGTGCAGGCCGTGAACGTTAAAACTGTGTATTTTCCAATGATGCAATGAGTTGAAATTTAATTTGTTGTAAATGGCTTGGTAAGCCTTTCAATCTGACAACGATTCAACAATTTACCCTGCAATATCAGTTTTGAATAACTATCATTGATCAGTTTTGAATAAATGTTATCATTTAAGTGTTTGGGAATGTAGCACGTAAATCCGACTGAATTAGGAAGCATTTAATACATGCAACACATCTTTTTGTACTGAAAACAAAAAATAAAAAAACGTAATAGTCAAGTCTCTATCTGTTATCTTAACTGTTTTATCGTCGCGAGGGTCGAGGCACGCTGGAGCCTATCCAGACGACGACCCGTCCAGGCCTCCCTGTAGGGAGGGTGTTCTTTTGGAATTACTGTACAGTATATCAAAAAGTTCAACCTTAGTTTCATCTGACCAAAGTAATAATAAAGATATCCTTTATTTGTCCCACACTGGGGAAATGTACAGTCTACAGCAGCAAATTTGGGGGGTAGAAAGAAGAAAAACAAAGTGTTTGCAAGCACAAAAATAAATGTAGATAAAGAGAGCTGTACACAGTTCAATATAAGTGCATAATAATATAAATAAACAAGCAAAGTACATTACGGCTGTAGGAAATAACTTACGCTATCAACCCTCTATGTTATCATTATTATTAACACGGAAAGGAGAGTTCAAAGCATTTGGGGAAAAAAAGTAAAAAAATCAATTTCAACATATTTTTTTTTTCAAAATGTCAATCATGCTAAATCACACACACGCCCGCACACGCGCGCGCGGAATGTAACAATATTTAAACGCAGGTAAAAAGTTCAAACATTACAAAAACACATGCCTTATGGGACTTGATTAGTGGGAGGGTGAGGAGTAACGGTTCTATCCGCTCCCCCTTCGCGGGTGTCATGAAGTGGTACAGTCCGTCCCGTTAGTTCGTAGCGGTGGGAGTCCCTCCTTAGCTCAGCAGTTGCCGGCGACTACCCGAGTACGTGTACGTGAGAATACGTGCTGGTCCTGACCGACAAAGGGATTAAATGATGAATTTCCATCGTTTGGCCGTTTTAGTTGGAGCTTTGGGTAAGCGCAATTGTTTCCTTTTGTTTCGCGACAACGTTTTTTTGCAACATCAGCGCAACAGGTTGAAGCCTCTTTGAACCTCTTCACCAGCAGACGATGCTTCGTATCAAAGAGCTTGCGTCATAGCCTTTGATTGGGTTTGCATTCGCAACGGGTTTTCAACTTGTTTTATGCATGTATAAATCGTTATAAAGGTAAAATCTCTGTAATTGCGTTATGGTATGCTATTAGTGTATTTGTGAATACGACACAATTTCTGTATGTGCTTTTATGATTCCGTACAAATTCTGAGTGAAGAGGAGCTGTCCATCATGAGCAATTTTCAACTTACATGTTCATAAATGGTCTCTCTCTGCCCTCGCGTTGTCATGAAATGAAAGATACAGGTGGATAAATTGAAATCCAAAATGATGTACTTACCGTAATTACCATTAAATAACCATCAAAGTGGTAACTGATGATGACTCAACTACTCTATGATAAACAGCGCTAAACCTATTCCAAATATATCTGTGAACCTGCATCTCCAAATTGGGTGATTTTTATTGTATTTGATAGCATATTATCCAGCAATTATACTAAAAGTATGATCTATTAAAATTGGCAGGGTCTGCCCTCATAAAATATGATCAGATGAAATACCCATATCTCTTATTTTGTACCTTGAAAAGATCTCAACACATTGTAATGTTTTGTATTTTCAAAGCAATGGGTTTTTTTTTCCTTATCAAATATGAAACTGCTGCGTAGGTCTTATCAGTGTGAAGTTTTTGTCGGACAAATGATTCAATATGAAGGAATGTCTGAGTAAAAGCAGGAAACGTGGAAAGGAAAGGACTGACAGGAAACACGCTGCTTTGTCACTGGTATACATGTTCAAAACAGGCTTTCCCGTCATGTATTGCCGTGACTTCTATTAAAAAAAAAAAACCCACGACGCACATGACTCAAAAATTAATTTGGCAAGAAATGATGTGCCTGATTCACAATTCATAAAATCAGCTCTTTTAAAAATACCCACCGTTCAGCTATAATGTTTGGGAAACCTTGCTTTAAAGTATAGGCACAACATTGTCCCTTTTATCAAAGCAGCTGTGTAACACTTGCTGTCAACAACACATATCGTGCTGAAATGACATAGTCAGGTTGTTCTGTGCTCCCACTTGCCGACTGCATAAGTGGGATCTAACGGTCCGCTATTAATCCTTAGCAGTCACTTGGTCTGTTCACGCGCAGCTGGGCCTGGACTGATCTTCTCATTGGCTGCGAGGGAGTAAACTCCTGCCCCTTTCTGGACCTCAAGTGGGACAGGAGGGAGGGGGGTGCAGCTTACAAACAATGGGGAAACAAAAGCGAAGACCTGTGGGAGGAATTTCAGAGCTCGGTCAGGGCTGTGAAATTACATACTCATCATCATGCATACGCGGGAGAGGCATTTATGATCAAGCAACGTGTTAAAATTTTAAACTGACTCTGCTATCAGGTATGTCTTTTGTGGGTGGGTGCTCATTTTATTTTGGTCATTTCCCGTCTTTAGGAGTTGTTTACAGCGATTTCCTGCCCCTCCTCAAGTTAACTTAACACGGTAGAATGCAGCCACAAGTGTCTGCTCGCTTCAGCCACCCCCTCCCTCTGTGATGACTATCCCGTGCCTCTTCATACTCCCTCCTAATGCACCCACTCCCTGCACACACATTGGAATTTAACCCCCCCTGACCCTGGCAGGCTCCCCCCCAACACACACACTGAACGTCTGCCTTTTGTTTTGATACTGGACAAGTTATCTACCAAGCGCCGCTTGTTCAGGTGAAAAGTGGTTAGTTCAGTTAGTTAAGAGGGAAGTCAAGTCAGGCATTTTTGTGACATTAAAATGTTCTACGCTGCCCCACCAGTTGAAACGTGGTTTTCTGATTAATTGTGCATCTGTCGAATATGAATTGAGCAGCAAAATCCACACGGTTTTGTCCATCTAAGGGGGCTTAGTTTTATGACATCACTTTGATGGAACCAAAAAAAGGTATTTGGACAGTTGTCCAAATAAGAGCCAAAATGATGCTCGTTTCCGAAAATCAATTTATTTAAAACCCCCAAATATCCTGACAGAAAAAAAGTTCCCGAAATTTGGTACGCGCTTTGATGTTTATAATTATGACGTGTATAATTGTGTCAACCATCTTGACTTTGATCTTCATGGCGACTATTCAAATATACAGTATTTGCGAAAAGCTTTGAAAAAAAATGGTACGAGTGGTTCCGAGACAAGATTGGTTGTATGTCTGTTGATCTTGAAATGGAAAATTAAAGATCTGAGCAGATGTGGAACCGATTTTATGTATGCCCCCTTGTCTGTGTCGTCTTGCATGAAGTGGATGTAGGAAGTGTATGTCGCAATTGTGTGTAGGAAGGTTTAAAAACCAGTGTTTGAAACCCCCGTAAAGAAAGACCTTTGAGGTCTGTCTTAATTGTCGAATTGTCTGACCTTTGCAAAATAATTCACTGTGCAATTCATTTCGCCTTCAAGTGTTTGTTTCAGGTATTTTTGATCGGAACGAGTATTCTAACAACTTATTCTTATGTGTTTTGTCAGTGTGCCTGTGCAATGGCATGTACGTAACAGTGCCGGAGAAGCAGCAGTCTGCCATGCTCTTCCAGTCAGTGGTCCTACCGTGTCACTACCGGACATCTTCCACACAGCAGCCGGTGGTGCAGTGGTGGTACAAGTCCTTCTGCCACGACCGTACCGGCGACTCCTTCTTGCCTCTCCACCTGCCGGGTACGAAGGCCTCAGGGAAGGCCGACAAGTCCCACGTGGACTGCGCCGACAGGTTCCGGACGGTTCGGGTGGTGGCTTCGGCGCAAGGATCCACCACAACGCGGGCGGACTACTACACGAACAGGGACATTTCCATCATAAACAGTAATATAATTTATTACTCTTTTAACATTTTCTTGAAGAATTCCATCCATCCATTTTCTATCGCACTTGTCCTCATTAGACCCCTGACTGATCGGCAGCCAATCGCAGGGCATAACGCGGGCGTTTGGCGGAATCCTCATATCTCCAAAGCCATCACTTTCCAGGAAACCCCCACATGACATGTTTGTTTAATAATAATAAAAATAAAATCATTAACACTCATTTTAATTTTATTATGATTCACCTGCGACCTATAAGAGGATAAGCGGTTCAGATCATGGATAGATGGACTATTTAGAAATTACGTCGTTGTGATTATTAATTGGTAACTTGAAAATGTAAAAGAAATTTGACCTATATTTTGTATTTATATAACAACAGTAAAATAATAATTTGTGCTATTTTTTAAGAAATTATGAGGAGTTTAATTATAATTAATTAATTATAAGTTTGATTAATTAACTAGTTATTTAAAATAAATGTACTTTCATTTTGCTAATATGTTGTATTTATTATTTTCAATAAATCAACTGCATTATTTAACTGAATAAATGAAATGCACACTAATTAATTGGAAAAACGGGCTA